AGTCATGCTTGGCCAAGCCCACGCAAGTGTGCCACCTGCGCCAAAGCTGACCTCACCAATCCACCACTTGACCGGGCCCCAAGTCTGCCACCCGCACTCTGGTGAGCCCACAGCTTGGGTTCGGCCAAGCCAGACTTGGGCTAGTGCCAAGTTTCAGTCCCCGCACAACCTACCAAATCAAGCCCCCTGGGCACACACCCAAGCCCCATTGGCACTCAGCCACACAGGTCTTGGGCCTGTGTCCAGACTGGCTTGCAAGACCATACTTCCTGGTCACTGTTCCACAATCTTTTAGTGGGAATACCAGGTATACATAGCTACTTGGCCCAGCAGGTTTGGACTTGTCATGACACTATTTAAAATGAGTGATTGATCAAAATCAAATTAATCACTCCATTCCTTCCCCCTAAGATATGAATTATTTGAAATATAAATTTGAATCTGATTTATAATTCTGATTAAGGTGTAGTGTGATAAACATATAATTGGCATCTGTTATTGATGAATTTAGAAAGAGAAATCACAAACTTGAATATGGTTGAATTTCTGTGATGTTCTAAATGTATTTCTACAGGGGCTACAAAACCAAAAAAATAAGAGCTTCCCTTGATCTGATTGTGAATCAAATCTGTAACATTTGTTCCAAAAAAACTGCTGAGGCCATGAAAATTGTATTCAATTAGCAGGTTTTATTTTTTTATCTGAATCAGCAGCCTTATCTTTGGGGGGAAACTAGGTGTAAGCAAAAGGGAATTTTAGAGGACATTCATTTTCTTTTCTGGGAAATTATTAGTAAATTCTGGGTAAAATCTAGTGACTTTCTTGTGAGTCCCATTTTCTATCATGATCCTTTTAGTGATTTTTACAAAAAAATTCAAATCTTCCAGGGTGACTTATTTGTGATTTGCAGTCACTGGAAAGCCAGTGCCCTGAAATTTCCCCTGGTGGCCAGTTGTACCAGTTAAATTCCCATTTATTCAGCCACAGAACACATGAATTCCTTTCTTACAGCTTACATATAAAAGGAATGCGTTGTAGATAGTCTAGCCAAAATCCCTCAGGATTTTCAAGGATAGGGCAGCTAAAATGCCTCATACAGGGGGTCCCTTGGGGCTAAAATCCCTCATATTTTACTATATAAGGAGGCCTCTGCCTGCCAGTTGTTTCCCTCCTCATCCCACTCAGTACACATTTTTTGGTGGGACACCTGTCACAGATATTTATTACACAAGAGGTTCACAAGTAGTACAGTTCACAGTTGAAATATATACACAGTTTCACAAACATTACACAGAAGAACCAGTCCTTTGTTCCAGCCCTGGTTGAAGCATAGTGCTCCCAGACCCTTTGGGTTCAAGAACCACCTCTATTACATTATACATATACAGCATCAAGGAAGAGCACGAGTATCAAGACATCAAGATGAGAAACAACATCAACAACTCAATCAATTCTTTGGACAACAAGATCAACCTTCAACAATTATACAACCATCTTTGAACATAATCCATTATCACCAACCAAACTGCCAAGCTTACCTTGGTGGTCTTGTTTTCTGATAATATAGAAAGGCAGAGTTTGCAGCTCATTTCATCCCTTTCTCCATTCAGCAAAAAGGATCTTACAATCACTTTTTGAGTCTTACATCGGGTTACGTTATGTTCTCACTGAATTGTCCCTCCGTCCCAACACCACCATTCCTATTCATGTTGACAATGAAGGAGCGGAAGCCCTGGCAAAAAATCCTGAACATCACGCCTGCACCAAACACATTCATGTGAGGTATCATTTCATCCAAGAATGTATCCAGCTAAAGGAAGTGGAGCTCCTGCATGTGTCAACCAAAGACATGCTGGCAGACATGCTAACAAAACCTCTTTCTCGTGTTGTTCTGGAAAAACACCACATTCTTTTTGGCCTGGTCTCCTAACTCTAATCTTTTTCTTTTCCACTTTCTCTCTACATCTTGGTCTTCAATTCCCTCCATTTCTTTTCCTTCTCAACCTCTTATTCTAATCCTTTTATCCTTTTTACTTTTTTATTTTTTCCTTTTCTGTTAAGTTTATTTATTTTATCAATTCTTTTATTCTTCTTACTGTTTTCTTTCCATTTTATTTCCTCAAGTTATTCTTTTCCTTCAGGTATGAAGCAAGGGGGGGTGTTGGAGTATCATTTCATTTCTCTCCTGTATGTCATGAGTTTGCTACATACCTTTCACTCACATGTCACACATGATGTTGTACACCTAGGCCAGAAGTGAGTATGTGGAAGGACTCTTTTCCTCATCCTTTCCACCACCTCACTTTCTGACCTAGGTAAGTCCCTTTTCATCCTTTTCCTTTTGTTCTGTCTCAAGTATGATTATCATCTGCAATGCTACAGTGGGGGACACCATATTTCTGTAACACCCGACCCGCAAAAGTTGAGTTGAACACGCGGGCCAAATGTTCATCGACCATTCAGGCCCAAAACCTTCGAAAGTGTCATTTTTGGACTCTTTGGAGGATGCACATTCGATATCTTATACGGTTTTTTGATTGGAGCAGCGGTTCTCTTTTTTTCTTTTTTTGAGGTCAAGATTTTGGACACATGCTCCCAAACCTGCCAAATAAGCCACAAGTCCATAGTTATGGACTTATGGGAGTACTGTAGTAAACCCACATTGAGTCAGTGAAGTGAGCTCATCAGGTAATGATGGTGCTTGTTGCAACAAGCGAGGGTTTTATTAGGGAGATGATAAACAAGCAAACAAAAACTGATGAGGTAAGAGATAAAACGATTGATACTGATGAATCAAAGGGAAATGATATACAAGCAAACAAAAATTGATGAAGTAGGAGATAAAACGATCAATAGTGAAGAATCAATGAGACACAAAAAACAATAGTGATGAATCAATGAGACACAAAAAAGTTATCATGTCAATTGATAGTGATGAATGAATGAGACACAGCTCAAGATGTGAGCATGTCAATTCACATTGCTGCATTTCTAGGAATGCACCGATGAGATTTGTATTTTTTCATGAGGATTTGGGATTGAGCCCCGTTGTATCCTTGTTGATAGACATTGACTTGTTGATCGGTCCAACAGAAGTACTTCCTGATAGTGATGAGTGGGCATGACTTGCGGACCATCTCAAATAGATCCTTGGAGTCTTCAAAAGACTTACATGTATGTGACTTCTTTCGGTATGCTTAATATAAGAGAGGGTGGATGAGTTGTCAGTGTGTGTTCTCAAAACAATGATGATGCAGGAAAATTGAAGCAACTGACCCTGCTTGATGTATGACCAAAAAAAGCTCTATTGGATTTAATTCGCAGTGAAATTTTGGTAAAAAAAGGCAGATGTGCCCTCAATCTTCTATAATTGTTTGCAAGAGGGGTCGTTTGTTGGCAAAATCCGATTGAAGGGATAGGATTCTGGACCAGCAGCACATGCTGCCTGCATTGTTTGGAACTTGATCCAATGTTGATTCTTCAGACTCTTGATTTATGGCAGCTTCAGTTTCTGCAATCTCGGACATTGATTGAGCATTTGATAAGAAATAACCGCAGTCTTCCGCCTGTTGGATCAGTTGTTCGGCACGTGAAATTGCATCTTTCCAAATGTTTGAAGTTGTACAAGTTTTGCAAGATAATGTTAGAGCTGGTTTACCAGATTCTTGCGATTGGCAAGTATAGTGCTGCCAAAGTCCTCTTTCTTTGAGGACAGCTTTGACACCCTTTTGTTGTACAGCTCGTTCAGGGTCAGGATGTGAATCGTTGTAAGAGAGTGTTTGAGGCTGACCGCAAAGATGAAGAGGAATAAGCGGATCATCGCTAGGAATAACGGTATCTCTGAGCCGTGCCTGTTTACCGCCATGTCCTAGATTCATCTTTTGGACTCTCAAAGCCGAGGGTGAAAAAGCGCCATGGGCTGATGAGCAATCAAACACAAAGACACCCTGAGCATTCGGGTGAAGTGATTCAAATATTGGAATCGCTTTTTGTGAGACTTGGTGACACAATTGTTCCATGTCCCACCATTTATCTCCAGTTGAACCAGGGTAAATGATAGTGGCCGCGTCTTCTGACTCCAGTCGGTTGTTTGAGTTATTTGTTTTCAATTTCTCCAATTCGTCTTTTGATAAGACAAGTCGACCTGTAGATTCAAGAATGAAGTCGGAGATATGAATCAATCGACCTGAGCTTTTAGATCGTAACTCGCTAGTCCCAGGGAGAAGCCAAGTTTTACTAGGTCTCTCTTTTGCATGTATCGTTGATTTGTCATGAAAAATAAAAATGGTTTCTTTCATGTGAACTAAGATTTCAGGATCAATCTCTGTTGAGATTTCAAAATTTTCACCTCCGTATTTGCGAGATCGTTGTCGAAGAAGGAGGTAATCGTCGACATATTTCTTTCTAGATAAAACCACATCAGGCCGCTCGTGCCCATCAAAGTACTGAGATTTTTGGTATTCTTGGCGACTAAACCCCAGCTTATACATCCGTCAAGTCACAGATTTGACAGTGGCTGTTCGCTCAATTTTACACTTGGGTAAAATTTTATGGTTGACATGGTGGTGGAGAGTTGCTGGAGTGACCTGAGAATGAATTGTTTTATGAATTAATTTTTTATCTGTATTGGTTCATGTCAGTTAAATACTGTGACTTACTTCACTGGGAGTTTGAGCTGCAGCCCAAGCAAACAAAGCTTTTCTGACCTCTGGATCGTTCAGGAGTGATTGATGGACTGTCTTGTTTCCCAATTGTGTTTCCAAGAATTCTTTGTGAGCCAAAACATGTAGAGCTTGCTTTGAAATTATCCGAGCTTGGTTAAGTCCACTGCTAGATGGTGGTGGTTCATTTATGCTGGAGGAAGAGACAAGCTGTCAACGTATAGCAGATTTAGCTGTTGCCAAGGAAGCGGTTACACTGGGTGATGGTATTCTTTCAATGGTGAATTGGTGTCGAAGGTGGTTGAACTCGTTGAGATTTGCAATAGTGGCATGAGGATATTTGAACAAAGTGTCTTGCTTTAACTTTTCTTGACACAACTTGATGGCCGATATGATTGCTGAATTAAGCTGTTGCCATCAATGCTTTGCTTTTGATTTGAGTTTTTCATCTTTGTTGACTACTTTCTTTTGTGGTGCAGAGTGGTAACGATTGAAGTGCAATTCAAGCTGGTGTGGAACTACTCTTGGGAGGAATAGAGCTTGAGAGGGATGAGTGCTTTATTGGGCTGCCTCTCTGATAACAAGAAAATATAAGAGTATGGACTCTTAAGGAAAAAGGTGTGGCTGTGGAGATTTCTTGAGGATGGTATGTCTAATGTTTCTTATGTTTACTAGTCTAAATATACTTGTTCACAAATAAAGGTATCCCAAATGTTGATGGGCAAATACATGGCTAATAGTGGGTGATCAGTTATCTGAATTGCTGGGGCAGGATCTGATGAGGAACAAATGAAGAGGAAAAACAAAGCTCCTTATATACAAAATTCTGGGGAGTGGCCAGCTTGTGGTTGGAAGATAAATGGAAAATTCTATGAAGAGTATGAAACAAGGGAAAATATTTATCCAGAGAAAGCAGGGGAAACAAGCAGTGGGAAAATGCTCCCAAGGTTACTAGTATGAAACAAATAAGGGGGAGAATATTCCATGGAAGAAAATAGGAGGAGATAACAGTTTCATGGACAAGGGGATTGTTACTAGTGTGGGACACAAGGAGAAAGAAGAATGGAATATGTTTGGAGGGGAATGGGTTTCAGGGCTATGGAGTTCCTGCTGGGAAATATTATTATCCATGGGGTCTGTGCTTGAGGGGATTCATGATTGGTTTTGGGGGTCTGGGGAGCTTTCTGGGGTGTCTTGATTGTGTGATTCTTCTGTGATTTGTGCTCTTGATACTTTTGAATTTTCAGGAGTGGCTTACCACATCCACCCCCAAATTAGATGATGTCCCCATCATCCAAAAAGAAAAAAGAAAGAAAAAAAAGCCCATCCTGAAAATTCTGAAAAAAATATTTCCAGAAAGAGAAAAGAAACTGGTCATAATTGTGGGAGGCCATAATTTGAAATAGTGCCAAAAGGAAGAAAGAAACAACAAAAAAATCTATGGTTTTTATGTGTAGAGGAATTGTTTTTGTACTTTTATCTTATGTAATGATTTTTATTTTTATTTATTTTATTTTGGTTCATCAATTATTTATGAAAGACTCAGATATCTTGTTTGTTCATGTAGCCCAGGGAATAAAAAAATAGAAGGCTGGTGTGAAGAAAAAAATTGGAACAAAACTAAGGATGAGAATGAATAACTGGGGTCTAACCACCCCCAAATTAGAGGTGAAGAAGGGGTGTAGGAGTTTCTGCAGTAGGAGGGGTAATGGGTGTAGAGCAGTAGGAGGGGTAATGGGTGTAGAGCAGTAGATGGCTCTAGGAGATTCTCAATAGTAAAGCTAGTCCTCCTAGAAAAGCGGAGGGTATCCCATGCACTTTAATTTTTTGCCCGTCGGCAACCGCTCCCTTCATTCCCACAATGCTTGCCAAGGCCTCAGCTGGGGTCGTGAATACTAGTAACGCTGCTGTCGGTGCGGATAGCGATATAAAACAGTGATTTATGTTACCAAATTCCTGGAAGGCCGCCCTTACGTCTTCTTTGGAAGTCCCAAGCGTAAGGTTACTGACTTTGACCAACCGCATTGTTGTGTCCGTGTACCGCGTGCAGTAACTGGCTTTGTCTTTGTAGACAATCGGTGGGGAGCTCATGAGGAAAGATGTGTGGCGATTATAGCCCGCTCTTGCGTATCCGGCTTTCTTATGTCTCTTGCCCACCATAGGTTTTCTCCTCCTTCGGAGTTCTTCAGACAAGCTCCGTACAGCAAGGCTGTTGGTTTCCTGGTTAGAGCCACGCGTGCGGTTCTGTCTCCATATTTTGTGGATACCAGATCGTATCGCAAATACTGGACAGTACCTCGACTCATGCCCCAGCCCTGTTGGCAACCAGCTTGAGTCTGATACGAATCTCCATAATCCTGTCTAGATTGCCTTGCTACGCCTCCACGTGGTCGCCCGCGCGTTGGGTCCAACTTGGTCTATAAAGCTAGCCCCATCTGTGCGAGATTGGGAACAGGCATCGCATAATTTGCACGCTCCCGCTCAACATGTCTTCTGTTTTTGAGATCCCCGACCGTTTTGATGGGCAACCGCTATCTCCTTACTCACTTCCTTCTGAACAGTCTACGACAGCCGACAAAGAGCCGACTGTGTCTCCGGATCAGCATCCTTTTATCAAAGAAGAATCGCCTGAGGAGGCGCCAATTGCTTCTCCTATTGATATCCGCAGAAGGGTCAAGGATCATGTACCTGCACCTCGTCCGCCTCCTCCCTCCTTTTCAGACATTTGTCTGTTTGCCATTGCCGCGGCTTTCCAAGTGAATGCCGATGGTCAGTTTCCTTTTCACTACCAGGAGCATCACGTCCAATCACCGTCACCTCCTACTTCTTCTGACGCCCCGGGAAGCCGAACCGCTTCCTCCCCTATTCGTGTCGACACACCACCTCCAGCTGAGCCCTGCTATGTCTACCCGCCCCTCCCCGATCCGGATCACGAACTGACACCTGAGGAACACGGACCGATCTGGGCCGAGGATGTTCAAGAGGATGCGGTCTTAAACGCGCGCCGACATATCAAGGATTTCTTTCGGTCTTATTTCAATTTACTGGACGGAGACGTCCTCAATCACCCGCGTCGAAGTGGTGGTTATAGGCGTATGGCGCAATGTCGATTGTATGAGAGCGTTATGGAGGAGCTGGACCGTGTGCTTGAGACTGTAGACCAAGTACAGATGACTGTTATAGAATAAGTAAGTAAAAAAAGGTCCTTCTGGGTATGTATGTATATAAAAAAAGTTGAAAACTTGATTCTGATTTTTCTTTTTTTTTTATTGGTGTTTTAGGGATATTTTGAGGATTTTTCATGAATTTTTCAAGGATTTTTAAAGACTTTTCCAGGAATTTTTTTTTTCTGTTTCTTTTGTTTGTTTTTGATGGAATAATTTTTAGAAATACAGAAACAAAGAGAAAAACTTATTCCCTGGAAAAAAAAGGTTTGACCTGAGAAGCAGCATATCTTCTTTTGAGTTCAGTGCCATCCAATTCTTCTAGTGCATAGGAGCCTCCTTTTTCTTGCTTGGTAATTTTATAAGGGCCATTCCACCTGTTTTGAAACAGTTTGCCCCATTGGGAGTCCAGACTTATATTATAAACTAACACCAACTGGCCAGGATTGAGAGGGTTTCTGAGGGATTTTTTCTGGTTCATTGGCTCCAAGTATTGGGATCTGGCCTCCTTCATCTTCTTGTAAGCATCTTGTAGGACTTCGTCTCTTCTTTCCAACTGGAGGACTCTTGCTGACAATAATTCTGTTGTTGATTTAATTTTGGTCCAATCTGTTCCCAGGTAAGTTTCCAGATCTAAGTCCACAGGCAAGATGGCAGGTTGTCCAAAAATTAATTCATAAGGGGAATATCCAGTGGTTCTTTTGTTGGAAATTCTGTCCACAAAGAGTACTAGTGGTAAGTAATTCCTCCATTTTTTTACATCTGTTTCACAGAGTTTGACCAAAGTATCCTTCAGGGGCTGATGTCCTCTTTCCACCATTCCATTTGCTTCTGGGTAGTAGGGTGTAGTGAGCTTGACCTTGGCACCTGCTTCAGTGAGGGATTTTTGGAGTTCTTGGCTAAATTCTGGGCCACCATCAACAACAACTGTTAAGGGGACTCCATATCTGTGGATCCAATTTTCCATAAACCATTCTGAAATTTTCTTGGCTTTGATTTGCTCCAGGCCTACAGCTTCCACCCATCCTGAGAGATCATCCCTGGCCACAACAAGGTATTTCCACCTTCCTGCTTTGATGTGAATGGTGTCCAGGCTTACTCTTCCAAAGATTATGGGGATCCCAGCAGCCTTCTTGAGTTCCAAGGGTTTTGCTGAGCTTCTTTTCTGACAGGCCACGCAGGATTGAACCCATTTCTTGACAGCTCTCTTCATATTTGGCCACCAAAATCTGAGTTTTGCTCTTCTGTAGGTTTCATCCATGCCTCTGTGGCCCAATTCCTCATGGAGGGCCTTGAGAACTGTTTTCTGGAGGTATTGAGAGGTTACCACAACCTGGGGAAAAGGTTTGTTTCTTCTTTTTAAATGGCCTTCTGACATAAAAAACATTGCTGACTTATGTTTAATAATACTCCAATCCTTGTCTGGACATTCAGGGGGTCTGTTGAGGGTTTCCAAGTAATATTGAAGGTGTTTCCAGATTCCAATTTGATTGCTGTGAGTGGGTTCCACCCCCAAATTTGCCATGTTGATCTCTTTTAGTCCAAAGCCAGGGTGAGGTTTGATCCATTTCTCTTCTTCATCAAAGTCTTTGCCAATTTCTCCAGGGTCAGGGGTTCTTCTGGACAGTCCATCAGGCATAGTGAAAGTTTTTCCAGAGACATGCTTCATGGTAAAGGAAAATAATTGGATAAAGGCTACCCATCTGGTCATGGGAGCATTTGGAAGGCTGGGTGAGTTGATCATTTCTATTAGACTTTTGGCATCTACTAATAATTCAAAATGTTGGCCCCATAATTGAGTTTGTAGTTTCTTGAGGACCTTGGTGACTCCACAAAGTTCCAATTTGAACTGAGAATATTTGGATTCTGTTGGGGAAAATACTACTGATTCATACAGGACAGGTCTGTCCAGGCCTTCATCTTCTTGTGTGAGTACTGCTCCAGCTGCTATATGACTTGAATCCACAGCTAATTTTATTGCTCCTGCTTCTTCAGAATAGTCCAATTTTTTTAGAGTAATATCATAGCCCACCAGTTTCTTCAGTTTTTCAAATGCATCTTGGCAAGCCTGGTTCCATTTCCATTCTGAGTCCTTCCACGTGAGCCTCCTGAGGGGTGAAGCAAGTTCTGAAAGTCCAGGGATAAACATTCTGACATAAACACAAACTCCACGAAATCCTCTGACATCTGTGGGGTTATCAGGAAGTGGCCAACTTTCCACCTTGTTGAGTTGTTTCTGGGCAATTTTTCTTCCTTCTTTGCATACCACATGTCCTACAAGGTCCAAGGCAGGTACTCAACAGGCAAATTTCTTTCCAGAGATGGTGAGTCCAGCTTCTTCTATTCTGAATAAGATCCTTTCCAGAGTAATGGCATATTCCCAAATAAATCTTCTGATTCCTGAATTTTCTTCCAATGTTTCTTGATTATAGTCTGACACAGGGCCTTTAATCCCTCCATCATCAATAAAAATGCCCACATTATTTGGTATTTCATCCTGGAGTATCCACATCATTTGGGCTTGGTAGACTGCCACAGAATTGGTGGCTCCTTGGGGTAATCTGGTAAGTTGAAATATTCCAAGGGGGGTTTCAAAGGTTGTGAGGGGTCTGGATTCCAGGGCTAATTCTCTTTCATCATATCCTCCCATTATATCACCCAGACCATAGCAGGCCCTTCCAGTGAAAGATTCAATGAGTTCTTCAGTATTTGGTGGAAGTCCAGAGTCTTTGATGGTGACTTTGTTGAGACTTTGTAAGTCATGGACCACTCTTAATTTCCCATCTTGCTTTTTGACACAAAATACTGGGCTGGAATAACTTGAGCAGGATTGTTCATAGAGGCTAGTCTTGAGTCTTTCCCTTACTAAATCTATGAATTGGTTCTTGATGGCTGCAGGTATTGGGATGGGTCTTTGCTGCCAAGGGTCATGCTTGATAACTGGGATAATGTAGGGTTTTCCATAGGTATGCTTCAGGAGTCCTCTTTCTTCTTCACAAAAGGCCAGTCCTCCTTGTCTGAGCTTGATGACATGCTTGAGGAGTTTCAGTTCTTCTGGCCAAAGCCATCCAGGGGGTCCAAAATTGACAACTTTCAACCTTTCTTCAGTTATTTTCCAGGTGGGGGTAAATTCAGGTGGGAAGGGGGTTAAGGGGGTTTTGTAAGGGTCTCTTGATAAAGGGGGATTGCATAAAGGTGAGTTGAGATTCTGAGGCATAGGTTCATTAACTGGTTTTATTTTTTTTTGTAGTTGATTTATATTTTGCAGCATATACTAATTTATCCTCCTCTTTTTTATTAGGCACCTCCCAAGACTTCACTTGTGGGAGGTGCCAGACACTAAAAAATGACTTGAAGTAGTGGCTGTGTGGACAGGAAAATCTTTCTCCCACTTTTGATTGGATGGATTATGTATGGGTACCAAGTAAGTTTTGCCTGACTTCTGAATTGCCAAGGATTCTGCTCCATTTTGGTGAAATTTGATGGTTGCTGACACATCTATGAGCCATGGTTTGCCCAAAATAGGTTGAACTTCCCCTGCAGAGACATAGAAGTGTATTCCTCTGGTGATGTGACCCACTTTTACAGGTACACTCTCAGCTACTCCTAGGATTTCATTCTTGTGGCCACCAATTCCTTTGAGGTTCATGGGTTTTTGGGTGATTATGAGGCCCATTCTTGCTGCAAGGTCCCTGGGGAGTATGTTGACTTGTGATCCATTATCCAAGAGTGCTTGAAATGACTTCCCATTGATACTGACATCAATATATCCCAGGGGGCAGGTATAATGACTGGGTTCTTCCTGGGATTCTTCATCTTCTTCTCCATCCTGGTCAATTCCTCCAGAGTTGGTAGATTTGGTGGGGTCTACTGGAATCCTTTTTGGGGTAATATTTTTCTTGAAGGCTTCAACAGTTCCATTAGAAATTTCAAAAATTTCCCCATAGGAAAGTTCCATTTTACCATCCATTAACATCCTGCTGACCACTTTGTCTTCTGCATGTGGAAATTGGCTGGTTAGAGGTCTCTCCACATAGGTCTTCTTAGGGGCTTTTTCCTTGGTAGCTGGTATGGTGGTGCTTTCAGGTTCCTGGATTTGGACTTTCTTTGGTGGGGGATTTTCCTTGGTGGATGAAGGTGGAAGGATTAATGGATTGTAGTCATCCTATCTAGCAATTTCTTGAAGTCTGTCTCTGTCTACATCCATTAGGTCCTCTTTTTCTTTTCTGACCCTTTTGCTAACTGAGGTTTCTTCTGAATATTCCTTTCCACTTCTGGTCCTTTTTACAGCTTCACATTCATAGGTGGATTCCTATTCTTGGTCAATTTCTTCCAATTTTCCAAAAGAGCCCCCATGGCCCATGGAAATTTCTGCAGATTTATTAAGCCCTCCTTGAGGTA